CAAAGGAGGCTTTTATTAAGCAAATTAAGGAGTGAATTACTCATCCACTGTTAAAAAAAAAAAATACTTTAGCTGGGTTTCCACAGACAGGGTCACAATTATCTACAGTGTATGAAGCTAAAGGTTTTAGGGTTAAGGTTCATAATGTAGAACATATTTAACATTGTGTGCTGTATGTACATATGTAGCTAGCAAACAAGGAATACAGCTGTTAAGCTAATAGTCACATTTAGCTGAGCAAGATCATGATTGAGAAATGTTGGATACTGCTGGAAATGCTGGTATGATGGGGTATCTTATTTATTTTTTTATGATTTTTTGGGAGCGACAGCCAATAGGAAAGAAGACGGCAGAGCTCATGTGATCGTTCTCCACTCAGCCGTAGATAAACATACGCAATGGAAAAAAAGTAGGCTCTGTTTCTCATTCATTTTTGTTTGTATGTACGGATTTAATTCATATTTGTATTATATTTAGTCTTTTGCCTCCAAAATGTTTGTATTTAGCGGCAAGAAACCTGATTCGCTGTCAAGGCAACCAGTAGTGAGAACGCCCACTAGCGACAAAGTCGCTGCTAGTGTGAACGCTGCTTCTATTTTGCCACACTAAACTTGGCAATAAACACGTTGAAAATAATACACAATAAACATGTCTGTCAAAACGATCTCAAAGGAGGCTTTTAATAATACAATTAAATTGCAGACAAAGATTTTGAATAGCTGGCTTGCACACTATATTGCCAAAAGTATTGGGACACCCCCTTCTAATGAACAGGTTTGACTACTTTAGTAATTTCCATGAGTACAAATCTTAATGTTTAAGCATATAATGCTATTCTAGGGAATTGTGTGCTTCTAATTTTTTACCAACAGTTTGGACAGTACCCTTTTCTATTCTAACATGACAATGCCTCTGAGTATAAGGCAAGGTTAAAAAATATATTGATTGAGCCAAAAATTCATCACCAAACACCAATGACTTGTACATATGGATAAAGTCATTTTGGACACTTCCAAAACTGGAAATACAATTTTTAAATACATGAATTATGTTTCCATCTTTGTTGCCACAGTTTTGGAAGTACCTTTTTCTGTTCTAAACAAGGGGGTGTCCCAATAATTTTGTCCATATGTATGTACAAGTCATTGGTGTTTGGTGATGAGTTTTTGGCTCAAGGTCTGCATTTAAAGTCACACCAGAGGTGTTCAGCTGAGATTAGGACTTGGCTTTCTGCAGACCAGTCAAGTTCTTCCACACTGACTGAATCAATCTTTTTTTTTTTTTAAACCTTCCACCTAAACCTGTTCAAAATTAAGTTCTTCATTCTTTAAAGCATTTTTAGAAGTATATCATTTTTCGATTAATGTTGTTTGTCATTCATATTAATAATTAAATTATTATAAGTATAACTAGAAATTGTATATTTTGCATTTATTTATTTAATGTGGCTTAAATGTCCTATTTTTTATTTTTATTTTTAGATTTTTTTGCTATTTGGAAATTAATGATATGGGAACAAAAATATGGGAACAAAAGTAAAGTAATTAGAGAATTAAAAACAAGTGTTTTTATGTCACCTGCTAAAGCCTTAAAACCTTTTTAGTAGAAGTATATAATTTTTTAATGTTGTTGTCATTTATATTAAGCTATTTATTTATTTAATTTGTGTGACTTAAGTGTCCAAATACTTTTTTTTTTTTTTTTTTCCCCCAATTGTCTGGGGAATAAAGATGTGGGAACAAAAATAATGTAAGTAGAGAGTAACAAACAAGTGTTTTTGTGTCACCCCCTCGGCCGCCACTATCTCTCCTCCCCCATCCTGCACTGACAGCAGGTGCTCAGGCGCCTTGGCCGAGCCGAGTGTCACTTTCTCGAGCCCAGTATCGCCGCTCCCCCCTCCGTCTCAGTCGTGGGTGTTGATTGAGCAGCTCCGCCGGAGCGGATAGTCAGGCTACTTGTAGTGCGTGGGTGTGCTGTTTAGATTAGCTTTTCATGTTTTAACTAATCTTTTTTTGTGTGTGTTATGTTTTGATGAATTGTGTGTGTATTATGTTATGTCTCTCTGTATGTCCTCCAGGAGATTGATATTCTCTTGACAGGCTGTTGTTGTGAATATGAATTCATTCTTAAATTACTTGCCTGGTTAAAGGTTAATAATGATAATGATGATAATTGTTGTCCACCGATCCTTTTCATCACGCTGCATCTTCGCTCCATGCCTTTATGGTCAGAATGATGCTCTGTTCCCTGTTTCTCCCTCCCTGCATCCCTCCATCCGTCCTCCCTTTCCTCTTGTCTTGGGATTTTGTTTACATCTTGCAGTGTGCCTCACGCACAAGGTGGAGGAGGGTGTGTGTGTCAGTGTGTGTGCGCGTGCGTGCTTTGTTTTGAGTGCCTGAGGCAGAGTCGTGCTGTCATTGAGAGCTACTCATGGTGTCACACTGACTTTGAGCTCCACTGCTCGCAGCTCTCTAGTACTCTATCACCTTCGGCACAACAGTAGAGCTGCAATGAAGTCATCGTAGCTCCGAGATTTTTGTCTCTGTCTCCGAGAGGACAAAAATTAGACTAACGAATTCACTGTGCACTGTTAACATTATTATCTCTGGTGATTTATGTGTATTATTTCACCCTTATCTGAATTAGCTCCCCATCACTGGTCTTTTGCCCATCATTGATTGGATATGAAAAAAATACTCAATCAAGATGATTTGTTAACACTGTTCATCTGATAACAGACTCTCATTTCATTTTGTTCTGCTTCCCATAAGAAATTTGTCGCCATATGTTGAAATGAAAGCTGAATGGGGATTTGTTAGAGAGATTGGACTTGTATGTGTGCAGTCTCCGGCGGCATCTGTTCTACAAACTGGACCGAAGGGAATTTAGCTGCAGCCCCACATGCTGCTATAAATAAAGAATATGAAATGAAACGCCCCCTAAGGCTTGAAAATCAACACAATAGGCTGTTTAAGGAACTTGCAGACATTAATCATCTTTTGAGAGGTAGGGCTTAGTGCATAGTGAAATGTTGTCAGTACTTGTTCAATCTAATGAAGACCCATTTACACTTTGTAATAGTAGTAACATGTAGAAAACTTTAAGCAAAGGGTTGGGCACATTGGCATATATGTAGGCTATATTATGATGCAGTGTCACTTGCTCACTCATTTTCTGAAGATTGGTTGATGACGTTTAATTTGAATCTTAGTTTAGTTTTCTGTAGTTTTCTCTTTCTGTTATGCGTGAAAATTCATCCCCTTCGGACCAACAATGCCATGGCCATACACATGCATATAGATGTATATTGGCAGTCATATTTTATATGAGCGTTCTGCCATGAGCGTTGTATTTAAGGGACTGTGAAAAGGTAAAATGGCCAAACTTACACATTTCAAACATGTTTTGTAATGCTCCTTCCCATTTCATTCTGCTCTGTCTAGCTGTTTTTGAATTCAAATAAAGCATCTGATTTAAATTCCCTCCTTTTTGTCCAATACAGGTCTCCCTTAAGATTGAATACTTGATTATTTGATCTTAAAAACGTCATTTTGCGCATCTCTACTTCAGAACTCATAGTTGCAGGGAATTCCTTTTGATGCACTCCCAGTTTCAGTTAGGTCCATAAAATCCTTTTAAATGCTCTGTGGAAATGGCCTCTACACACACAACACACACACACACGATTAGAGTACGCTTTCTCTCAGTGTGTGTCCTTGTGAGTACAACTTAATTCACACCAAAGACATTTCAATGACTGAGACATTTTTATCACAACATAAAACAGCGTGCCCAGCTGCAGAGCAGACAGTAATTACAGTAATCATCTGCACTGTAAGCCTGTTGAAAAATCTGATAAATGTGGGAAATGTGGCTGACTTAAAGGGATATGGAGCGTTTAAGTTGACTCAAAAATGGATTTGGAATTATGGCTTACCTAAAATGTTGTGACGGAATTAGATCAGGAAGGCGAAAGCCCAAATGGGCCATGTAATCAGCATTCCTCCCTGTATCCCCCATGTCAGGTGTGAGATAAGCACAGGGCTATCATAAAAGCCTGGAGCTTTATAAAATCCTATCATAGGACGTCTGCAAAGCTTAGTCTGTTTGATTGACGGAGGTGGAGCAGTTGTCAGGCGATGCGGCCATTGCAGCAGATGTCCTCCGTGAGATCAGCGCTGATGTCATGCAGCCTAGCGACAGCATCTGCTAAGGATACCTGAGTGGAATTGGCGGAACTGGTCATCTCAGTAGGAGGTGCCATCACAGATGAGTTTGTTACTTTCTCTAGTTGTAGGTAGAGCACAGAAATTGGTTCGCCTACTTTTGAGCGATTAAAAGTCTGTTGTTTTGGGCAAGTAGCCGAGCTGCCAGGCTGAAAATCTAAAATTTAGGATACACTCAAATCTTGCATAATGAACTGTTTGCATTCAGGTTTTCTGCAGTTGCCTGTTTTAGTTTCATGCTGTCTTTTAATTCATTAGGGTTACTGAGCCTGTTTTGTTGCTGATGATGACAGGGTCATATAATGCATTATTGCATTTTCTTATTAAAAAAGGTCATGTTAAGGCTACACTGGATGTTGTTTTGAACAGATGTTGATTAAATGAATGAAATGTGCTACCTGAACCAGGGGTATGACAATTAGATATTAAAATAATTCAAATAACAGGATGGGAACATATTGCCTTGGTCTTGTCAAATGTGTTTTCATCTATGAATTCACTATGGATAGACAGCTAATGTTATTTTTTACCTCAACACTTGAGTCCAGAGCTGTCAGCAACTGTTTGGTGGTTTCAGGATGAGAATTGCTAACACTGAGTGGTCAGCATTTTCTTAGTCATGAGATGGTGTAGCAGAACTGAATGGCTCTTTTTGACAGTAGCCTGTTTGATTTTGTGGATGCTCATTTAGAAAAAAAAGAAATCTCTTAAGGTTAAATCATACTGAACCACTGAGTTAGTTGAATCTCTCTCTCTCTTTTTTCATTTCTTTAGGAGGAATTTGGAGGCTTTAGCACAGTCAGTGACAACAGAAGAATCCATAGCCTAGGAAGGACGTCAATAGGTAGAGTATCTTTTACATCTCTAATCCTGTCTTTCTCCAAATGTGTTAAAAAATAATTGTAAAACAATTGTTTAAAAAACAATTTGACCTTTTAAGATCTAACTTGCTCTTTTTTTAAACATGAAGAAATGTAGAGCTTATTTATGTAGTGCTTTCTCTTTCTGTCAGGTTCTATCTCACCAGAAAAGAAACCCAGAGGACGTCCTCCTAGGGCTCTAGCTGTGCAGAGAGTTGGCGCTGATATTGAGACAGCCCCTTTGCCTCTCGCCACAGCTCCTACAGAGAAGGTAAAACGACCACCAGGGAGGCCTCCTGGCACTGGAGAACAAAAAAGAAGAGGCCGCCCTCCTGCTTCTGCCAGCCAGAGGAGCTGGCAACAGAGCGGCCATGCACTCCCTGAAGAGGATGGGGATGCAGAACAGCAGTGCAGCTCCAGTCCCACACACCACAAGGACGGTGTGGAGGACAAAGACAAGGAGAAAAGGCAAACTCTGCTTGGTTCTGGGCACCATCAGAGATCTGAGGCTAAGCTTCACAAAATCAGCCGGGAGTCCAAGGTGACCAAACTGAAAAGATTGCAGGATGTCAAACTGAGCCCACTGAAGTCTAAGCTGAAGGCCATTGTGAGGGAGAGTGTCCCAGTTCCTGGTGTGCGAAGACGGGGGCGGGGCAGGCCACCTTCTGCCGAGCGTCTCAAAGCTGAAGCTGCTGCCGCTGCTGCTCAGGCTGCTAACGCCGCCTCGGCCCAGGAGATGACCACCATGGCACCTGGGACTGCCAAACATAAGGCCTTCAGGGTTCGTGCCCAAACTCCACAATATCTCAAGCTTAGGGCTTCTCATCCTGCTGATGAACGCACTAGCCCAGATCCCCATGACTCCCCTACAGTCAACCCAATGACCCCAAATAAATACGGGAGGCCGTTAGGGTTACGTCAGAGCCCTCGCCATATCAAACCTGTGCGGGTCGTCCCTCCCTCCAAACGCACTGATGCCACTATTGCAAAGCAGCTGCTGCAGCGGGCAAAGAAGGGGGCCCAGAAAAAGAAGCTATTGGAAAAAGAAGCTATTGGCACCCAGGGAACTGCAGGTCTTGAGGGTGGGAAGCACAGGAGGCGAACGCAACTAACAAACATCAGGCAATTTATCATGCCTGTTGTGAGCACAGTGTCGTTGCGCATCATCAAGACTCCAAAGCGGTTTATTGAGGATGAGGGCAGTTTCAGCACTCCACCACCACACATGAAAATTGCTCGATTGGACTCTGCAGCATCTGCTCCAGCACCTCAACCCATAACACCCGCCCCAGCTCTTGTTTTCACAGCTCCCGTCACAAGTGGAACCACTGCCACACCCGGGGCAGGCCCTGCTGTGGACTCTCTCCCTCCTCCCCCACCTCCTGTCCCAACTGGCAGCGCCAACAACATTGCAGCCAGTCTCCTTAACAGCAGCTGCAATAATAGCACTAGCAACGGGAGATTCAGTAGCAGTGCAGCATCTTGTGGCTCCAGCGCTGTTTCGCAGCATTCCTCTCAGCTCTCTTCTGGCGAGTCATCTCGTTCCAGCAGCCCTAGTCTTGATGACTCCTCCTGTGATTCCCAGGCCTCTGAGGGTACCCCGGCCCTCTCAGAAGAGGCAGATCATTCCCCTGCCTCTCAGGGAGAGACAGAGGCCAGCCTGCACCACGCCTCGCACCTACCATCACCACCATCCGAGCCGGAGCCAGACCATATAGTGTTGATGGAGCGCAGGAGTCGGGGTCGCAGAGGTCAGAGTCACAGGCGGGGTGCTTTAGTGGCCCGTGGTAGGGGCAGCCTGATTGGTGGAAGGAAACAGGCCATCATCAGCCCAGCGACAGGGGTTTCACAAGCTGGATCTCAACAAGCCTCTTCCACGGCATCGTCATCCTCTTCCCCACCACCTCCTCTTCTCAGCCCTCCTCAGGGAGCTTCATCTAATGCACCTGAGCATCACTCCTCTCCATGGATGATGTCACATTCCATTGCCCCTTTTCTACCCACCCCTCCAATACTCTCCAGCTCTCACGACAAACGTCGCTCCATACTACGAGAGCCCACTTTCCGCTGGAAGTCTTTGTCATGTGCTGAGAATAAGTACTTCTCCTCTGCCAAGTATGCAAAGGAGGGCCTTATCCGCAAGCCCACTTTTGACAACTTTCGTCCTCCTCCACTGACTGCTGAGGATGTGGGCCTCATGCCACCAGGACCTGGTGGAGGTGGCGTCGCACCAGGAGGATTCCCAGTGCAAGCTGGTGGTGCAGCTGGGACAGGTTCCAGACTTTTCTCCCCCCTGCATCATCATCCTCAGCACAATCACCACCAGCACCCATCGTCGCGGTTTGAAACGCCACTCCAAAAGCGTAGCCCCCTACTACGTCCCCCTTTCTTCACTCCAAGTCCAGCTCATTCCCGCATCTTTGAGTCTGTCACCCTCCCATCCTCATCAGGGAGCAGCCCTGGCTCTCTGTCTCCCCTTCAGGTCTCACCAACATCAAACAAAACGAGAAAGGGGTCTAGGTTCTCACGTGGGCAACCCAGGTCACACTCACACTCTATGACTACTAGAAGCAGTCAGTCAGGAGTTCAAACAGGGAAGGCCTCTGAACAATCCATGATTAGCAGTTCTGTTCCCATAAGCGTGACTGGGAATTCCAGTCCATTGCCTGGAGTTGCAGTCCGTCCACTTGCTGCCAGTGCCTTATCACAAGCTTCTTTCAGTGGCTTCCCCTCAGGCTCCATTGGCCTTACGAGCCACGGAGTTTCCGATGGGTGGCGAGCAGCAGGGGGTCTCAGTGTGAGTGGGAGTTCTGCTTCATCTTCACAGCTTTTCCCACGTTTTACCCCCAGTAATCAAGGATCAGGTGGGGGAACTGGAAAAGCAGGAAGGGAACAGAGCATCTCTGCTACTAGAGACACAGGTACAAAGGAGAAGGACAGGGACATGGAGAAGAATAGAGAGCGTGAAAAGGAGAACAAAAGAGATGGAAGGAAAGACTGGGATAAAAGAGGGAAGAGCCTTCCATCAGAGGCTTCCCCTAATTCTACATCCAGCCTCTTTCCAATGGAGGCCAGGGACATTGAAGAATCGCTCACCCAAAAAAGGACACCTGGTCGAAAGAAGTCAGTCACCGTTGACTCTGGTGCAGAGGCCTCCCCAAGTGACTCTGCAGCAGTTCAACCTGTTGGGGCCTTGTCCTCCAAGGGTCGTCTGGCCAAAAAAGGCAGACTTTCAGAGAAGAGTATTGAAGCAGAGGGAGTAGAGAGGGAGAAGGACAAGGAGAAATTGAGTGCTCCTACCCAAGCAGGGCAGATGGGAAAACCCCCTACCACCACATCACTGGACTCCGTGTTAGATCATGCCGAGAAACAGCCAGTCACAGACAGGCGTGTCGCAAAACTGCTGAAAGAAGCTAAAGCTCAGCTCAATAGAATAGAGAAGAGAGAGGTACAACCTGGCGATCAACCCAAATTACCGGTATGTCCTGTCTTTTGCTGTCCCCTTTGGTTTGAAAGATGTTCCCAGGTTGTTTTTCCCAAATGCACAGTTTGTTTGTCTTGTGCAGGGTCAAGAGAGTGACTCTTCTGAGACGTCAGTCCGTGGTCCACGCATTAAGCATGTGTGTCGTCGTGCAGCTGTAGCTCTGGGTCGCAACCGTGCTGTGTTCCCAGATGATATGCCTACCCTTAGTGCCTTGCCATGGGAGGAGAGAGAAAAGATCTTGTCTTCCATGGGAAATGATGGTGAGAGAACATCTTAGAACTTGTTTGATTTTTTTTAAGAAAAGTGTCATTGTTTTTAACCCTTTCTTTAATGGTGCTTGAATAGACAAATCATCAGTGGCAGGATCAGAGGAGGCGGAGCCACCCACGCCTCCTATTAAGCCAGTAACAAGGCAGAAAACGGTCCATGAGGCCCCACCCAGAAAGGGCCGGCGCTCTCGACGCTGCGGGCAGTGTCCAGGCTGCCAAGTCCCAAATGACTGTGGGATCTGCACTAACTGCCTGGATAAGCCCAAATTTGGGGGACGCAATATTAAAAAGCAATGTTGCAAGTAAGTGTGAAATCTTTTTATTGTGGCTTTCAGAACTTTAAAAGTGTAATTGTCCCTAAAACTTTGTGCTTGTGTCATCAGAGTACGGAAGTGTCAGAACTTGCAGTGGATGCCGTCGAAGTTTCTTCAGAAGCAGGCAAAAGGTCAGTTTTCTGGGAACACCCTTTTTATAAGCCAGAGATGCTCTAATGTTTCAATTAATTGTCTATTTGCATCAACTACAGGTAAAAAGGACAGGAGGAGAAATAAATTGTCAGAAAAAAAGGATTCACATCACAAATCTCAGTGTTCTGAAGCAAGCCCCAAGCCAGCCCTTCCTCCAAAAGATGACCCTCCCCGTAAGAAAAGTGAAACGCCACTGCCTACGCAGGGAGAGGACAAACAAAAGCAGGCACAACCTTCTGCACCATCCTCACCAGCTTCCTCCCCAAAGGACCCTCCGCTCTCTAGTCCTTCTGATGACCCTAAACATTCTCAAACCCCTTTGAGCTCAACCTTTCGAAAGAAATTGAAGCAGCAGCTCAGTTCTTCACCCACCCCTGTACACACTGCCCCATCTTCCCCACCAGCACAGTCCCAGCAGTCCTTGCAACAGCAAAGCCAATTGCTAGCAAAAAAGGAAGGTCTTGCAAAGTCCCAGCCCACTGAGCCCAAGAAGAAATCTCAGCAACAAAGTCAGCCCAGTTCCGCCACAGACACAGGTAAGGAGATGTGGAAATGAACTGCATGTATGATTTACTGTTAACTTTATATAGGGGTGTCCAATCCTGCTCCTGCACAGCCACCGTCCAGCCTAGGACTAGACACTCCTGACTTAACGTAGCTTTAATGTTTTTGTTTTATGGTCATGTCATCTTTTAGCATCCGAAGCAAAGCTAAAGAAACAGACCACTCGATGTGTTCAACCACTCAAGCCTAAACCAAAAGAAAAGGTAAGCAGATGTTCCAGGCACGTTTGTATCATTTTATGCCATAAATTTTTTTTTAATAAAAACAGGTTTGTCTTCTCTTTCTCTGGATAGTGGTTGATATTCTTTATGATGCTGATATTCCTGTGACTCATAGCACAAGCCATGGTCACAGGTTCAATTCCCAGGGGATGTACATACTGATAAAATATACCGTAAGTCACTTTGTAAAAGCATCTGCCATATGCAATGATGTAATGTAAATGTTTTTTTTTTTTACAGTTGAAACAGATACCCAAACCTGACAGCAGTACTTTAAACTCCCAGAGCACTCCTTCGACTGAGGGCGCCGCCAAGCAGAAAGCGCCCTGCGATGGAGTGCATCGAATCAGAGTAGATTTTAAGGAGGACTATGACATTGAGAATGTGTGGGACATGGGTGGACTCAGCATTCTCACCTCTGTGCCAGTCACCCCGCAGGTGGTGTGCTTTCTCTGTGCCAGCAGCGGTAATGTAGAGGTGGGCTATATTTTGTTTATAATTCCTGAAACCCAAAAATGATGGGATGTGTTCTTTTGACTTGTCGTCTTCAGTTTGTTTTCTGCCAGGTGTGCTGTGAACCCTTCCACCTCTTCTGCTTGGGGGAGACAGAACGCCCCCATGAGGAACAGTGGGAGAACTGGTGTTGTCGCCGATGCCGCTTTTGTCACGTCTGTGGCCTGCAGTATCAGAAAACCAAAGTAAGACTTTATTCAGTTGCATTTGTGTCACAATTACGGTGGCCGAGAAGTGCAACGCAAATCACAATTCTGAAAACAAAATAACAAATTACAAACGCAAATGCAAATCTAAAAAAACGGCCACCGTACACAATAGATCAGAGACACTTCATATTCAATAATTGTATGCAGAAATGCATTACAAAAAACTGTATTTTTTTTAAAAACAAGTGAGACTAATAGAAGAATTACTATGCAAGTAACTCAATGGCACGTATTTTTCATGTTTCAGGGTTTTCTCCTAAAGAATTAAAGACAGTTGAGGACACTTTGATTTAGTATTTCAGAGTCTCTGATCATAGGAATAGTGAAGTGCTTCCAACAGTAACAGAACTGAGAGTGTTGGAACAGAGGGAGGAAAGTTTTAAAACCTTCAGATTTAATGGGAACTAGTATATTATGAGACAGATTCATGTAATTATTCCTAAAAAGCTTGTTTATTTCAAACCCTGATGGAATCAAAATTAAAAATAGGTTTTTTATTTTTATTTTTATTTTTTAAATCATCTAGCAGCTACTGGAGTGTGACAAGTGCCGAAATAGCTATCACCCTGAGTGCCTGGGACCCAACCACCCTACCAGACCCACCAAGAAGAAAAGAGTCTGGGTACACTCTCAATCTTAGATGTCTGTAACATCTGTGGTATTTTTGCTGCATTCTCCCATGATTATTTTTCCTTCTGCCACAGATTTGCAACAAGTGTGTGTGCTGTAAGAGCTGTGGAGCCACCAAACCAGGGAAAGCCTGGGATGCTCAGTGGTCACATGATTTCTCTTTGTGTCATGACTGTGCCAAACTCTTAGCTAAAGGTCAGTGCTATTCATTCTGGATGTTTATTTTATGCCTTTAAACTTGAACTAAACTGTGTAATTAATGCCCCCCCCCACCCCCCGCAATGTCTGCCCATTCTGTAATAAGTGCAATGATGACGATGACTGTGATAGCAAAATGATGAAGTGCAGGAAGTGTGATCTCTGGGTCCATGCCAAATGTGAAAGTTTAACAGGCGAGTTACCAGTTTTTCTCCATATTTCTTATTTGTCATGTGACTTTACAGGGCACCATGAGATCAAACTAACAGTCCAGCTCACAAAATAACAAAACCAACTAATATTTGGTTGATTTAAATTGCAGAAACTTTGCTTAAATGTACACCACTGTTCAAATGTTTGGGGTCTGTAAACATTTATTTGTGGAAAAAAATTCAGAGAATCCTGAAAAAAAAGTATCATGTTTCCACAAAAGTATTAAAAAAGACTGTTTTCAACATTGATAATAGTGTTTTTTCAAAGCAGAATATTAGCATGATTTCTGAAGGATTATGTGACACTGAAGACTGGAGTGATGGGTGCTGAAAATTCAAATAAGTGCAGCCTTGTTGAGACTTTAAAAACATATAAAGTCTTACCGATCATAGACTTTTGTATGGTTGTGCAAGTCTTTAGTTAAGATCTGAAGAAAGCATTCTACAGTGTGGATGTTTCTTTAATACTGCACTCCAGTCCAAACATAATCTTTGCTTCTTTTATTCTTTTTTCTTTAGATGATATGTATGAGCTATTGTCTAACCTGCCTGAGACTATGGCCTACACCTGCGCAAACTGCACTGAGCCCCATTCTGCTGAGTGGCGCACTGTCTTGGAGAAAGAAATTCAGAAGTCCATGCAGCAAGTTCTCACTGCCCTGCTCAACTCCCGCACATCCACTCACCTGCTTCGCTACAGACAGGTGAGTTGCCATCTGCAGCCCTAGAAGTTCCCACCAGCTTTATTTTCACTACGTAACCTATTGATCTATCTTCTTTGTCTTAGGTGGTTATGAAGCCACCTGAGCTGAACCCAGAGACAGAAGAAAGCCTTCCCTCACGCCGTTCCCCAGAGGGCCCTTTCCCCCCTGTGCTGACGGAGGTCTCTCCGCCAAATGATTCACCGCTCGATTTGGAGTCTGTGGAGAAGAAAATGGATTCTGGACGCTATAAATCTGTGGTAAGAGGTTTTGAGAATCTCCTTTGAATCAGTTTAAAGTAAAAAAGGTAGCTTTTATGTTTCTATTCTTCTTTGAAAGATTACCTGCCGCGTTTTGAGCCACTAATGCAGCAGGGTTCAGATGCCGGTCACATGCTTGTGAGAGCCAGGTGTCATTTTCTGCTTCACTCTTTCAGCTGGAGTTCAGTGATGACATTGTGAAAATCATCCAGACAGCCTTCAATTCAGATGGAGGTCAGCTAGAGAGCAGGAAGGCAAACAGCATGCTCAAGTCCTTTTTTATTCGGGTGAGAAAAAGCTGTTGGACACACAGTTCTGACAATAGAATGTCTTGCAGTCCTTCATCATTATTGATAATTGCTCTGTCGCTGTTATTTGTTACAGCAAATGGAGCGGACTTTTCCATGGTACAAGGTGAAGGAGTCCAAATTCTGGGAGACGCGCAAAGTCTCTCCTAAGTGAGTCTTTCCCATGTCTATCAAATGCTTTAAGTTGTTTGTATTTGAATTCTTTTGTCTGAAACAATTTTCAGAACTAAATTAAGGAGCTATGTTTAGTTTGATAGTGAATAGAAGGGCCAGTTAAGCTAGTATATGAGCATTGAGAACAAACTCACCACGGAGTGTCTGTCTATTCTTTGCTCTCCTCTAGAGCAGAAATATCACCTTTCCATAGGGAATGCAGCCTGTATGGTCTAGTTCCATTGTTTGAGGTCGACAGGCAGTGTCATATTTCACATGGGTGCTTTGACAAGTCGTGTGGTTGGCATTTGGGTTGCTTGTTTGTATACTTCATTTGTTACCATGAATTATTAACAGCAGTGAAGCAAGTTTTTTTTGTGTGTGTGCATGCATGCCTGACATTGAATACTGTCTCTTTAAAGAGAAAACACAAATATTTATATTATTTCCCTTTGGAGTTATGGCTATCAGCTTATGAACTTTGTCATTGGTATCTTATTTCTGAATGAGCCTACAATACCGTTCCAAAGTTTGGAGCTCAGGAAGCTTTTTTTTTTAATTATTATTATTTTCAGAGAATTTAATCTTTAATTCAAGAAGGATACATTAAACTTAAAACCTAAAAGTGACACAAGTTGGTAAAGACATTTTACAAAATGTTACAAAAGATGATAAAAAGATGCAGTTCTTATAATGCTGTAAACAAACACTAATGTTATATAACAAAGACATGGCTAACAAGGCAGTCTTGTATCTTTGCAGTAGTGGACTGCTTCCCAATGCTGTGTTGCCCCCTTCTTTGGATCACAACTATGCCCAGTGGCAGGAGAGGGAGGAGATAGCCAGGGCTGAGAAACCTGTGCTAATGAAAAAGATCATCCCGGCTCCCCATCCTAAAGCACCTGGAGAACCTGACTCGCAGATTGCCCCCACACCACCACCTCCTCCTCCACCCATGCTTATCCATGGTGAGAAAGTCGATTTAAAGCACTATAAATCCGATCATGTATAGGAAATACCGATATGGTACATTATGTGTTAGAGTTAATTACATTGTCTAAACCGAAAAAGATATAGATAAAGTGTATATAAGTTAAAGTGTACGTACGTTACACAGGAATATTTCTTTTGTGTTCAGACCACAGCCCTGAAGACAGCCCTGATATTCCCCCTCATTCTGGTATAGGTGACAATAGACGATGTGCGCTTTGTCTGAATTATGGAGATGAGAACACAAATGTGAGTAATCACCCACAAAAAAGAATGCATTAGCATGTACTGATGTGGATTTATGTTTCAATCATGTTCATTTTGTAAGACATTGTATGGTAATTTGTTTTCTAGGATTGTGGGAGACTGCTTTATATTGGCCAGAATGAGTGGATCCATGTGAACTGCGCACTTTGGTCATCCGAGGTGTTTGAAGATGTTGATGGTGCACTCAAAAATGTCCACATGGCAGTCAGGAGAGGCAAAAAGCTGGTACATGATCTAAGCCATGTGCTGTATTTGTTCATTAAATTACAGTGCCAGAATATGCATTTGTGTAATATGTTTGTTACCTAAAAAGAGACTATAGGCAACAAATCTTTCCCCCATCCAAAAATAGACTGCATTATGCTTTGTTTTCTCAGCAATGTGAAAATTGTCACAAACCTGGAGCCACGGTGAGTTGTTGTCTGACCTCCTGTACCAACAACTACCATTTCATGTGTGCACGTCAGCAGCAGTGTGCCTTTTTAGAGGACAAGAAGGTTTATTGTCAGCATCACAGAGATCTCATAAAGGGCGAGGTAAGGAATGATACATGCAAGCAACTAATGCACTAATGATTACATGTTTGTTATGAAGTATTGGATTTATTGTAAATAATTAACCTTCTTTAAAGGTGGTGCCAGATTCAGGCTTTGAAGTTACTCGGAGGGTCCTTGTGGACTTTGAGGGAATAAGTCTGAGAAGAAAGTTTGTTAATGGGCTTGAACAAGATAACATTCACATGATGATAGGTCTGTATGTCTTTGCAAGGTGTTTGCGGTTCATGAGGAATAAACTACTGTACATCAAAATTAAATACCACTTTATTTTTGGTACAGGGTCTATGACCATTGACTGTCTTGGTATGCTAACTGAACTGTCTGATTGTGAGAGGAAGCTATTTCCTGTGGGATACCAGTAAGTCTTTGAAATCATAGAGTTGTATTTCAATAAACATAAGATGTGAAATGGAATAACCACTTGATGTATTTACACAGATGCTCAAGGGTCTACTGGAGCACTCTAGATGCCCGCAAGCGCTGTGTCTATAAATGTAGAATTTTAGTGTGCCGCCCCTCTATGACTGAAACTATCAATAACAACACAGCAGCTCAAGAAGAAAACCACACAATTGCTCATAGTCCTTCACCTGTTTCAGGTAAATAGATTTAGATTTGTTATTTTCATTCCAAAATTTTATTGGAATTTTAAAAACTAACTATTATTAAACATTTCAGCTGAGGTGGATGCTGCGTTGATTGGACCCACAGATTCCACAAAACCATCAAATGTGCCTTCCACACCAAAACCAAGGGTTTATTTTAGGAACAGACACCCAAGCTACCCTCCATGTCATCGTTCTCCCTCAACCAGACCACTTCCCTCCCCAGGTAAGAGTTATATACATTTAAATGCTTATATTTTATATTGCTTATATTTGAAAGCTTTGTTAATATTATTCAATGTGTGTTTTTTTTCCCCATTAGATGGTTTTAGTAATTCAGCCCATGAAATTGTGACTGTGGGTGACCCTCTGCTGAGCTCCACTCTACGAAGCATTGGATCTCGTCGACACAGCACTTCGTCCATCTCTGCTCAACAACCTAGGCAAAAGGTTTCCTCTCCTCAACAGGGAGGCACAGTATCCATTCAGACAGGCAATTCATCTGCCCCATCCCTGTCCTTAACCACAAAGGAAACTTTAACCAGGGACACAGACAAAGGAAGAGCACCATCTGGAGAGAGATCTCACAATCGAGAGGCAAATTCATTGAACGCTGGGGCACAGCGTCGACTCAGTTTTGGTTTCACTGAAAGAATAGAAGCAACCAAAAAGCAGGCAGATGGTGAGAGTTTGAAGTCATCGCAACCAGTTAGCATAAGTCAGGTGTCACCACCTCTTGGAACTGTGGTATTAACAGGACATCAAAGAGGAAGTGGCAGTTTAAAAACCGAGAAAGGGAAACAAGCCACAAAAGATACTGACCTACCAGCCGGAGCCACTTTTATTTCCAGTCATCCACTTGCCACGCTTCCCAAGGACAAAGCTAATCCAGTCAAGGAAGCAAATGTGACATCAGTGGCTGTATCAAAAGACACAGGAAAGACTGGGTCTCCACAACCAGTTTACAGCAAAAGTAGGAAATCTCACGACTTTGCGTCTGGTCCAGCTGCAGCAGCAGCAATGAAGCCTCTCTGGTCATCTGGTGCCAAGGTGGGAGAGGAGGACATAAAGCGTGGCTTCCAGGCAAGTGCTGCAGTCACTGCTAGTCCTGGAACCTCTAGCACCAAAGAAAAACACTCCAAAGTCAAAATGAATGTGAGCAGGGATGTTTCAAAAGAAAGAAAAGAGACTGCTCAAAACCAAAACCCAGTCCTTAACAGCAACTCTAAAAGCAGTAATGTCAAAACACAAGGTCAGGGTCCACCTCCTCACAACAGTAGCAATAAAGCCACAGCACTCAGCAGCAACACGGGGTCTAGCACAGTGGAAGTTAATAAATTTAATCAGAAGGAAATGGAGAAGCCAGTAAAGTCCAAAGAGAAATTTAGCTTAGAGAAAAAGCATAGTTCCGCCATTGATGCTATTCAGCCGAAAGCAGGGTCTGAAAGATGTATTAGGCCATCACAGGTACATCCTAAATCAAGTAAGGAAGTTACTCCAGTGGTGAAGAAACACAATGAGAGGCTGCCTCTAATGTCTCAGAAAATGGATCCTAATGGAACCAAAGCTGTCAGCATGCCCCCTAACACAAACACATACAGTTCTGTCACCCCTAGCAGCCAGGGCCCCCAAAGAAGGTCCTCTCGAGCGATGGTTTTATCCCCATCTGCAAGCTCTGAAAGCTCAGAATCAGACAGCCACATTCACCCAGATGATTCTGAGGAGCACCTCATGGACCACCAGTGTGCCGATGATGGGGAGGACCATAATTTAGAGGATGAAGGCAGTGTCGATAAGCACCACGAGGAGGATAGTGATGGTTCGGCAGGTTCAGCAAAGCGCAGATACCCAAGGCGGAGTGCCCGTGCTAGATCAAACATGTTCTTTGGGCTAACCCCATTCTATGGTGTGCGATCATATGGGGAGGAAGACATACCCTTCTACAGAACTGGTGAAATCTCCATGAAAAAGCGCACTGGGAGCAGCAAGCGTTCAGCTGAAGGACAAGTTGATGGGGCAGATGATATGAGCACATCTTCTTCAGCAGACAGTGGAGAGGATGAAGAAGGAGGAATTGGTTCAAATAAGGACACATATTATTACAACTTTACACGCACTATAATAAACCCAAACTCTGGTCTTCCACCTATTGCGGGTATTGATCAGTGTTTGGGAAGAGGGTCGCAGATCCACAGGTTCTTGAGGGACCAGGCAAAGGAGCAAGATGATGACAGTGATGAGGTGTCAACAGCAACCAAGAATTTGGAGCTGCAACAAATTGGCCAGCTGGATGGCGTGGATGACGGTTCTGAAAGTGATGTTAGTATAAGCACCAGCAGCACAACCACTGCTACTACTTCGTCAACACACAAAAGTTCAACAAAAAGAAAAGGTAGAGAAAGCAGGACAGAGAAAATAAGCATCGACTCAGGGAAGGAGACAGAAAATACCCCAAGTGGGAACAGTCGTGACAGTCGTAAAAATCAAAAAGATAACTGTCTTCCATTAGGGAGTGTGAAAACACAAGGACAAGACCCCCTTGAAACTCAATTGTCACTCACCACAGATCTCCTCAAGTCTGACTCTGATAACAACAACAGTGATGACTGTGGTAACATCCTACCCTCTGATATTATGGAGTTTGTACTCAATACCCCTTCAATGCAGGCTCTGGGACAGCAGACTGAAGCTCCTTCTGCTGAACCATTCTCTTTAGATGAGAGTTACGGGGTGGATGTTAACCAAAGAAAGGACATGCTTTTTGAAGATTTCACTCAGCCACTGGCCAGTGCTGAACCTGTTGAGAGTGGAGTGAACACCTCCATTGCTGTTGAAGAGTCATATGGTCTTCCCCTTGAGCTGCCCTCTGACCTCTCTGTGCTGACAACTCGAAGTCCCACTGTAAATAATCAAAATCACGGCTCGCTGATCTCCGAAACCTCTGACCGCACCATGTTGGCTCTGGCCACAGAGGAATCAGGAGTTGAGAAAAGCGGGAAGAAACCAAGAACAGGGTCCACAGTATCCAGCAAAAGCCCACAGGACAGATGTGCCGATTCCCAGGTTCCAGAAGGTCACATGACTCCAGAACACTTCATTCCTGCGCGCATTGATGGTGACCATATCACGAGTCCTGGAGTAGCACCTGTGGGAGAGACAGGGAACCAAGATCTGACAAGGAATAGTAGCACGCCAGGTCTTCCCAGCCCACCCACTTTACCTCTCCAGAGTCAGAAGTTCATCCCTGCTGCCACTGTTAGTACAGGTCCTGCTCCGATTGCAAGCTCTGCTGTTCAAGCTACCGCCTCTCAATTGAAGCCTGGCCCAGAGAAACTTATAGTCCTAAACCAGCATCTGCAGCCACTCTATGTATTGCAAACCCTTCCCAATGGTGTAACCCAAAAGATCCAGATTGCACCATCTGTTAGTGCAACAGGTGTCATGAACACTAGTGCCCCTGTCTTGACAGGCCTCAGTGGTGGCATCTCCACCTCTCAGTCCATTTTTCCTGCTGGTGGCAAAGGTTTAGTGCCTGTTTCTCATCACCCACAAATCCATGCGTTCACAGGCACCACTCAGACAGGTTTCCAGCCAGTAATTCCTAGTACCACGTCAGGCCTTCTCATAGGAGTCACCTCCCACGATCCCCAGATTGGTGTGACAGAGGCAGGAAATAGGCATGATCATGCCTCTGGTGTTGCAATGGTATCTAGTCCTTCATCCATCACCCCAGCTCCAACTATGCTCCCCTCTGGACATGGCAAGAAACGCCTAATTTCTCGTCTTCAGAACAATAAGAGCAAAAAACAGGCTCGTCCAAAGACCCAACCCACACTTGCTCCTTCTGATGTTGGGCCCAATATGACCCTCATAAACTTGTCACCTTCACAAATTGCTGCTGGAATTCCTGCTCAGACTGGCCTGATGGAACTGGGCACTATAACTGCAACTGCAACACCTCATCGAAAGATTCCTAACATTATAAAACGGCCAAAGCAAGGGGTGATGTACTTGGAGCCTACTCTCCTTCCACAGCCCATGCCCATTTCAACCACAACTCAGCCTGGCATGTTGGGACATGATTCCTCGACTCGCCTGCTCCCATGCACTGTGTCAGGGCTCAACCCCAGTCAGTCCATTTTGAATGTGGTGTCGGTGCCTTCCACTGCACCTGGAAACTTTTTGGGAGCGAGCTCTGTATCGCTGAGCGCCCCAGGCCTCATAAGTTCAACTGAGATCACAGGATCTATAAGTAACCTTCTTATCAAAGCCAACCCTCACAACCTGGGCCTTCCAGAACAACAGATGGTTCTTCATTCAGGAACCCCCATGATGTCTCATCTTGCTAATCCTGCCCAGACATCCATTGCCAGAAGCATCTGTGTGTTTCCCCCAAACCAAAGCATAAGCATGTCTGTCAATCAGCAGGTGGAGAAAGAGGGCAGCATTCATCTCCAGCACCCAGTCAGTCGAGTCCTGGCAGATAAAACCCTTGACCCAAATGTCAGTTCAGCTGGTCAAGTGGCTCTTGCCCCTAATCCCATCGCTCAAGATCTGAACAAAAGTCATGTTGTTGGTGTCCTCACTCAGAGTTCACGAACTTCTCCCATTTCTCGGCCACCACATCAGCAACAGTCCTCAAAGTTACCTGCTGGAGTGGCATCCACAGCCGTTGGGAAGGGAAAGCAAAAGCCCAAAAGACCTCGACCATGCCCAGATAAGAGTCGTGGAAAGAAACACAAAGGACTCCACTCAGATACACCAACTGTTGACGCATCTGCAATTCAGTTATCATATTTACCAGGGTAAGAGCCTGACATTTATAAAGCATATTGCTTATTGTTGGAATAAAAATGTTTAAACATGCTAAAAAATTATGTTTATTGTAGGGACCGGGAACTTTCATTGCCTGAGCCAATGGATACAGGGCAGTCAAATGAAACCGGTTCAAAAACCAGGTAAACAATAATAAAGATCAATCACAACTTTTCAGTTTACTTAGTTGTATCTGACCTATTAAAACTTTTTTTTCCCTTCACAGTGACTCGAAGACAGCCGATTCTTCTTCTCTTAAACGTAAAACCATGGACACTCATGATGAGAAGCCAAAGACTGCAGGTGGGTAAAATGTTAGGCCTGACTGTCCATCTCTCAGTTGAATGTTGTAGTGCTAATAGTTTTTTTTTTTTTTTTGGTCACATTTTTTTTGCAGGACTGCCTAGCAAGGGTGATGGGAAAGGATCTAATGCATTTTCAGTGGAAACACCTGATCAGAGGGACAGTGGCAGAGACTCCTCTCTGGACTACAAGCCCAAGAAAGGGCTCATATTTGAAATCTGCAGTGATGACGGATTTCAGATTCGCTGTGAAAGTATTGAGGGTAAGTGAGATCTAGATAATAAAGTGTAATGCAGAGTTATAGACTCAGTAAGGAGTATGATGTTCTTTTGTTTGGTAATTACAGTCAGTCTTCTGTGAAATTAATTTCCTGTTTCCTGTTTCTTTTCAGAGGCCTGGAAGTCCCTGACAGATAAAGTGCAAGAAGCCCGGTCCAATGCTAGACTCAAGGCACTTTCATTTGATGGTATAGACATATTAGAGCGTTTATTTTAATCCTTGCACATATTTGTTTTATGACTTTAGCAAGCACATCTTGTATTTCACATCGTCTTTCTCTTTCAGGAGTAAATGGGTTGAAGATGCTCGGTGTGGTTCACGATGCTGTAGTGTTTCTACTTGAGCAGCTATATGGAGCCAGGCATTGCCGAAACTACAGATTCCGCTTCCACAAACCTGAGGAATCAGAAGATCCTCCTGTCAACCCTCATGGATCTGCCCGTGCTGAGGTGTACCACAGGTGTGTGTCATGGCCAGGCTGGTCGGTGTTCATTTTGGCAATACCTGAAAATCTTAAACCCTTCTACAATGGTGAATTCAAAGTTATGTTTGTGAACACTCTAATTGACTTTTATCGGCTTGATTAAATTTTTAGGCGATCAGTTTTGGACATGTTTAATTTCCTGGCCTCCAAACACCGTCAGCCTCCTGTATATAACCCCCGGGAGGAAGATGAGGAGGAGATGCTGCAGAAGTCTGCTCGGTGAGTAACCTTACTTATCCTATTCTGACCTCCTTTACATTTGTGGATTAAAACATCACAACACCTGTTTTTTTTCACAGACGGACCACCAGCATGGACTTGCCACTGCCTATGAGGTTTAGGCACCTAAAGAAAGCATCCAGGGAAGCTGTGGGTGTCTACAGGTATAAACACTTTCTATTCAAACCAAAAATGGTTGGATTGAGGAATGAAAAGCATGCATCTTTGTTGCATACCATCATTTGCATCCTGTATATCGCTTGCAGATCAGCCGTACATGGCAGAGGTCTGTTCTGCAGGAAAAACATTGACGCTGGAGAGATGGTGATCGAGTATTCTGGCAATGTCATTCGCTCTGTCCTCACTGACAAGCGGGAGAAATACTATGACAGCAAGGTAGAAATCGAATGCTTAGTCTATCAGTGCAATTAATTTAAAACACCAACAACACTGATATTCCTCATGGATTTGTCTTTTTTTGTTTTTACTTAGGGCATTGGCTGCTACATGTTTCGTATCGATGACTACGAGGTTGTGGATGCCACCATGCATGGTAATGCAGCTCGATTCATTAACCACTCATGTGAGCCCAACTGCTACTCCCGCGTGGTCAGTGTTGACAGTCAGAAGCACATTGTCATTTTCGCCACACGCAGAATCTATAAAGGCGAGGAGCTCACGTACGATTACAAGTTCCCCATCGAAGAACCAGGAAATAAGCTGCCTTGCAACTGCGGGGCAAAGAAGTGTCGCAAGTTCCTCAATTGAAAGCAAACTCACAAGCTAATACTGTCTGTGAATGCTATCAAGAGTGTATTCTTGCCAGGGAAGAGACATTTTAAATGTGTTTTTTTTTTCTTTTTTTACTGAAGCAGGCTCAGGTTATCAGAAGGTTAATGGTATTGTGCCTCTTAAGTTGTTTGATTTTTAGAAAAGACAATTGAGCAGAGTCGCAATGCAGAAGATTGCCCTTGTGTCCCCTTTATTAATGCCCGATTTAAGAGATTAGTGCCCCTCATTCTTAACTTTTGTATCAGATCTTTTATTTTACTGTTTTGTTTTTGTTTCATTTTTTTAAAGAAGGATATTGTGAAAAGTTTTAAATTTGTAATAAGTCGAGTCTGGCCTGCCCTTATTTACTGAGTGTGACAAATTGCTGAAAAATTGCCACATCGTTCCATTCTACACCAAAGTGCAATTTTGGAAGGGAAGGATTTAATGTTTTTAGATTGACGATACATAATCCTTTTTTTAGTCTGACCTGTTTAGACATCTCTCCCTTTTTGAATGTACATGGAAGCCTTCAGAGCATCCATGGTCGTCCTTGCCAAGCTGGGCCTGATTCTCTGTATGGAAAACACTGTAAATATCTCATAGGAGAGATGATGTGGGGAAACACTAGGGGGAGCAGTGGTCCCAGGAATAGATTTGAAGAAAAATGGTAAATGTTCTTTTTTGGCAATGGTAGGAAGAAATGTGTTATGAAGAGTAGGCAAGGCAGAGCTTATGAGATGTGTGGCTGGCAGGTTGAGATCCTGGTGGACTGACCAATGGACCAGAGCCATTTCTGAGGTCTGGGGGGGAATAACATGCTTTTATTTACTATACGTTTTTATAGTAATTCAGAGAGAAAGTAGCTTAATTGCGTTGTATTGCATTATTTGCATGTTGTTACAAAATCTCATAGGATTTTAGTGAGTCCAGATGCTATTACCAGTTTATTTATTGTGTCTCACCATTAGGGAGTTTTTTTTTTTTACTCTCTAGGCCCGTATTTGTGTATAAAATGATAAAATTACGTTTTTGAGGCAATTTAAGAACTATTTTTGTTGTCTCATGTCACTGACAGAAATATAATTCGTTGAATAATGTAAATAATATGTATATTTTTCTATACAAATGACTAAAAAAGCACTCATTGGTGAATAGCACTTAATGGTATTTATATTTTTAATAATACATTGTATTTATTTTATCAACATTTTTGTAGGAAAGAATAGATATAGAACACTAATGCTTTGTCCAGACATTTTTATAGCACTGTCTCAATATTTTTTTTTTTTTTTGTAGCCCAAATGTTTCTTTCGATTCCAAAGACTGAAGCAGTTACTGTTCCCACAGAGTGCGGTCCACCAGTGGCTCTCATTGCCAACCCAGGTCAAGCATGGACATTTCAAATATCATTTCAAATAGGTGTGTAGGTTTAGTGAGCTTTTCTAAGTGCAGATCGATTTGATGCGACTCTCCTTTTTTAGTGCCAGCCTTAAAATCACATGCAAGAACAGCCCATCTTCCCTTAAAAGTCCCTCTTTGCGTTTTCTAAACTTGGAGGAAAGATGCATGAAATCCTTCTCTAGCATTCTAGCAACTGACAAGTCCCAAAGTTTATTCCATATATTTTGTTATATCAAAATATTTTCTTAAGAGATTGGTGTAATGCAAGGAATCGCCACAGAGGCTATCCCGTGTAAAATTACTTGTAAAGCACTATATGTATGGAGGAGGAGAGGGCGGAGGGCTCTTGTTTCCTCACGGTCTTGTACACTGAAGATCAGTCTTCTTCCCAGTCTTCTTCAACACATGTTGCCTTGGCACTGCATGGACGCTCCAGCCAGCCATTCAGTCAATGCACATTATTTGCTCGTATCATCTCTTAGTTTTGTAAATGTCGACACTCCCCACACCTGTTCCCATCTGGGCCCTTTTCAGAGCTCGAGTGTTGTTTGACCCCTATTTGAATGAGGCTAAGACAGATGTGGCTTTATTACTTTTGTGGATGTTCTGTGGATTGTTCTTCCATGGTTCTTCCGTATTTCAGATCAGAAGTTTGGTGCCTTCTCTGTCAATTTCTCTGGTTGTTATTTTCGTTTTTGGATGTTAGGCGTTAGAACTTGTTCGGACAGTCAGCTGAGAAGCTCCAGACTATGGAGAAACGTTCAAAGCTGTTTTAACTAGGGCACAAACAGATTCCACTTGAAATTTGACTCGTTTTATTTTTTATGTAAAGTTACGATGCTTTTTAAAGGGATGCTGTAGCATAAGAATGGCTTGGGATCTGTACATACCTCTAGACGAAGCTGCTTTGTGCAACCGTGGCTTCCTTAGCGAGCCACTTTCAAGGCCAGTTCCTCTGCGTCTCATTGCCTTGTAAGTTTAACTCTAAAACAATTGTTTTTTTGTTTGTTTTTTTCCCCCTTGGCCACTGCAGACCCCCTCCAGCCCTCACTGTACCTAGGCTGCAATCATTTTGACTTTTCCCAGCATTTCACTTTTGACTATGGCACTGAAGATCAGAGTTCTGTAAGTTTCCTCACATTGAACATTTGTTGGCTGCTGCCTCATATTTGTATAGGTGTTTATACTGATCAGAATTTGCGGTTTAGCCATCTTTTTCAGGGATTCTTGGGGGTCTCGCCCAACTTTCCTCTCGCCCTGGCACCCCTGTGGAACAGGACGTGTTGAACTCTGCAGCTAGGCCGTTGTTGAATGTATTCTAGAATTTTGTTTTGTTTTTTATTTTTTTATTTTAATTTTCCAACATGAAAGGCTGGGAAGATACGGGACAGCTTTTTCTTGCATAAAATAGGAGGATTATACAGCAGGGTTCTACAGAAACTATTGCTCAGTCTAACGAAATAAGATTTTTATTTTATTAATATATTTTTTTTGTAATGCAGTTACTAATCCTAAGGGCTTTGTAATGGACTCCTGCACAGACATCAATACAACGTCAGATGCTCCATAAACTGGTATAACAGCGCTCGGTCAGTGTTTCAGAAGCAGACATGGTCTGTCGTTTTCCTGGACTTTACTCTTCCACACCATGCAAGTGGTATCACACCTTCTCCTGTAATTATAATCAACAGTATATATGTATACACATTATACATGGATATATTTAAACTAAACGTGTATGAATAGTAACTTGTGCTTCAATATCTACACAATATACGGAATGGACAGACAAACTTAGTAACAGTAGCAAACAGCAGCTTCATAATGGTTAATTGCAATGTTCAGTGTATAACCTATAATGGTTTTGTGTTACAGATAAACTTTAGAGTAACTAATGTGCATCATTTTAATATCAAGATCAAGTACCAGTTTTCCTGTGCCTGTGAATGTTCCCTCAGTGGAGCATTGCAGTTTTTTTTTTCTTTTAATTTGTTCGTTTGTTTTAACTTTTTTTTTTATTATTTGGAAAGGAGCGGTATTTATATTATGAAACGTGTTCATGTAAAATGTGGTTGTAAACTTTTTGAGCATTGATAATTTGTTTGCTTTTGATGGTGTAGTCGGCTTTATTTTACTCTGTACATTTTTAACAGTTTGTGGACATCAGGAAAAAATGTCCTTGCCTAAACCCAGCCATGTCACCTATACCTCTCTCTCCTATTGGTTCTTAAGTTGTACTTTTTCTTATGTGATGTTCTGTAATGAGTAATGGTAACCATTCTATTTATTTATTTCTGCAAACATCTCTAGATGTACACTGAGGTAAAGCTCCATCTGAGAGCAGGTGACTGCGCTCCCTGTTTTTGGAATTTTAACATGGTTCACTTTGTACAGAAATGAGTTGCGGACCATCGGTGGTACTTTAGGGAGTCAGAGAGGTCTTGAGAGGGAGAGATTTGAACTCCTTCCTCTTGGAGGACACAAGTTTTCCTTTGTCTTACCAACACTTCCTTTCCCCTGTAGCTTCGAGAGATCATGTTGATGTTAATACTGACTTATTTTTTTCTCCAAGTTGCCCCATCAGTGTTTTACCATTTTACAGAAAAATGAAGGAAAATTTGTTAATCTAAAATATTCAACCACAAACTACTTAAGGATGAATGTATAATGAGGGAAAAAATTGTACATAACTGTAAAAAGGAAAATTTCTAATCATGTTTATTTTCTATGCACTTTTTTTATTTAAGTGATAGTTTAAATAATAAACATGTCTTGTTTACTCAAACTTGATATCTTGTTGTTTTTACCTTCCTAGTATTGTTAAACCAGTAGTTTCCTGGTTCTGGACTTCAAATGGCGACATGGTAAAAAAAAAACAAATACAGGTTTCAAAAGGGAATTATGCAGCAATACTACCATTTTTGGTTCCCCAAAGAACCTAAATATCCTGATGAACCTTTTTCAACTATAAGAACTTTTTGTGCAATGGAAATGTTCAGTGGATGTTAAAGGTTCTTCATTCAACTATAGGTGCGAAAAAAGAACCATTATGTTTTTGTGTTGAATAATGTTGTTCAGGAACTTGACCCAACCAGTCATGTTAGCCAACAAGAAGGAACTACAGCAGATAGTATTCTTCTCAAACAACAAAGACAAAACAACAACAACATGAAAATTAATGTGCTGTTTCTGGTTATGTGTAGCACCTACAGCTCTGCATGTACATCTGAAGGATCGCATTGCTGGAAAGAGCTGCTCAAGTTTATTTTCAACAGTTGATTCCTTATTTCAGTCTGCTCTAAACTGTTCGTGTAACAAATTTGGTCATCCTGTCATAATATAATACAGGCCTTGCAAAATAAAACCGCAGTTAAACTGCTTGCCTTGGTTTTACATGCAAAGGTACAGCATCAAAAAAACAAAAGCCCTGCTTAGTTTTAATGGTTAGAGTGACTAAAAAGTATTCATGATGCAAGACACAAATTAATCTAGCATTGCAATGTAAAAATGTAACTTTTTATTGAAACCATTCACACCAAGCGATCAAGAAAAGGGTGTCTAGTTTCAACCAGCTGTTCATAATGTGAAGTACCTGGTCTCATGAAACCCTACAGACAACAAGGAGCCACTAGCAGTTTCCCTGAAGTAGTTTATGAGCCATTAGATTTAAAATGCTGAATAAGTGTTCTAGAAGGCCTGGATACCCCTAATGGGGAAGCTTTGTCATCTAAATAAAGCTACCAAAGTAACTAGAACCATGTGTCTGAACTGCCACCCACATCAGCACATCCCACCATCTTTCATTCATGCCTGCAGATTTTCACTGCTTCTTTAAACTCAGAAATAACCACATCATTTTCCAAATGCAATGAGGATTTTTTTCTCTTGATGTTGCGACAATGAACCCAGAAGATTTGTTTATATAAAGCGGTTGTGTCACATGATCATCGACAATGTTTAGAAAGTATGCTTTGTATTTTTAAAGCAAGAATAGTTCAATCTCTAACTTGACCACAGGGCTGTAATCCCCAAACGGTTTGTTTCTCACAAATTCGCCAGCCACAATGAACTGGCATCTTTCCTTCGTAAACCTCACTCTAATTAAATACACACGGGTCTCGCCAGACTGTTCACTGGCGCCCAAGACCCCTTCTCTAGAGCTCTACTGTATCAGATAATGTTTATGCTTATAAAGTTGGACAAGCTACAAACATTTAGTCTCCGTCCCTTGGATAATCCCTCTTTCTCCCTCCCCATCTCCCAGCCTCCCTATTTCTAATTGGCTTCCAATAGCTTCCCATTTCCTCTGAAGACTAGGAGTGCTCATTTTTTCCCAGACGCCTTGGACGGCAAAGAAAAGAGGAGTTTCACTGCTCGTTTCTCCTTCGCCTGCTCAATACTGTCAATCCAGTGAAGATTCAAAAAACGTAAATGGTGAGTTAAATTTTTTTTCCATAGCTAAAATTTGTTTAGTCATGAGGGGTCTGACTGCTTTCACTAATAAAGTGTTATGGAAACATTTTGATTTGTTTTTATATGTAAATTCTTAACATTTTTGTGTAGACAGTCTACCATTTAGACACTTTAGTGCAGATATAACTATATTATTTCACTTTGACTACCAGTAATGTTCTTTGCTATGAAATAACACCAGTGTCTCTAAATGGAAAGATTATCAAGTCTCTTGCGTAACTTTTGTTTTTGGTCAAGATTGTTTATCATTACTGCTCACTCCGAATCTCAGTTCAGGCATTTACTTTGAGTAAAGATACTGTTTACTGCAAATCACATTTCTGAAGGCAAATATTCGAAAACTAAGAAATGAGCTTTTCTTACAATACCTAATACCATTTGTGTACTAATATGTACTTTTAAGGTACCAGCATGCACCATTTAGGGGTAAATAAGGTACAAAGTATATTCCTTTTGAAAGGTTGCTGCCCCAGTGACAGCTTTTGTACATTTTTTCTGAGAGTGTACTAATTTATGAATAATGGCAGTTAAGACCCATTTATAATGCAATGAAGTTTCAAGATAAGCACCAAGAAGGGGAAAGCTGATCCTTCCCATATTTCAACCCAAAGTTTAATTTTTAGTATAGTATAAATGATGCTGTGATATTGAGGGAATGAACCCCAATGTTAATATTTTGTTGCAATAATATTATGGCAGCCTTGTACACAATAACACAATGCTTCAATAATAAACAACGTGAAGCATACTAGTGAGTAATGTGCTTTGTTTGGAAATCAGACTTCAGTTGACACTGGAATGACGGTATTTGTTCTGCGCTCTTTGGCAGTCATTCCTCTTATGTCCTAACATGGCTCACAGTTTGAGCTGCTCTACGCATTTAGAACCAAAATACATAAACAAGGTCCTGAGAGATAACTGTCCAGATGTCCTTGAACAGATGTTTCTATTAAACTGAAGATACCAGTGCTTTAACTGATTCTGCAGAATTTTTGAAGAATGCTTTGGTGGTCTGGTTGTATTTCTCAAGGTGAATCATCAGCAGTTTCTCTTCAACTTATAAGAAACAGCTGTTTGACAGACAGCAGACTTGCTGATTTACGGCAAGGCATAAAATCTTGGAAATGCTTCGTTCCCGGCAGGATTACGAGAGTTGACAAACCCATGAATACATCCTGTTGCACAGACTGTGTGTGTTTGAGGCCTGATTATTGACTGTCTTCAGCACCTCATCAGTGACAGATGGTAGACAGTAACATTTATTATAGTAATTAGCATTTTCGTTATTCACCAACTATCAACATTAAGTTTTCAACCCCTCAAACTGCAGATGATATCCAGTTTACTAAGCTTTTTTTAGGAAATGTGAATTACTATATAAATCTACAGAGATTGCAGATTAGTACAACAATATTTCCCCTAATGTTGTCCCACAGCGATTTTATATTGGAAAATATTGCTGATTAGTTTAGTGTTGGAGCTCCCAGCATGCACTGCAGTGTGAATAACTTAAGTTCTTACTGTTATAAACAGTTCTTGTGTTGATTATTTAACAATTATATTGATTTAAAAAAAAGAATTTATTGGTTGCACAAGACCATTTTTAATTAGTGAAGAATCTACTTCATATTAGCTGACAAAATAGGGATAGTTCACCCAAAAAATAAAACGGTCATCATTTACTCAGCCTCGTGTAATTTCAAACTTTCTTATATAAGAATATTCTGGCCACTCTTTTCAATATCAATAAAAGTGAATCAGGACTAAGGCTGTCAGGCTCTAAAATAAATAAAATCACTATAACAGTGATCCATATGACTTGTGTAATATTATTCCAAGTCAGAATTTTGGTACTTTTTGGTACTTTTATGGTGCTTCTGCATCCTTTAAAAGCTTTTTAAAGGCTTCACGGGGCTGCAGGTTATCAGACACGAATTCCTACACAATATTTCTAAGTCGTCTTCATCTAAATTTACACTTACACAGAGCTTGTGCTTTAGTAATTACGATGTACCGTCAAATTTCTCTTGGCATACTCACCCTATTGACTGAGAAGTGAGATCATTCAACTCTCAGAGTTGTGCTTTACTGCTTTTCACATTATGTTCAGACTTCATACCATACGTCTATTTTCAGTCTCAGTAATGCTGAAATCATCTTGAAACAAGATACAAGTTTATAAGACTTGTTTTTTTCTTCCATTTTTTTATTTTCTCCACAGACTGAGCAATGACATCTCTGCAGACATGGCCTCTTTCATTGCTGCTTGTTATTGCAGTACATTGTTCTAACTCACTCGAAGACAACAAGATCCCCAGTTTGTGCACAGGAAGCCCAGGCATCCCAGGATCCCCTGGGTTGCATGGCAGCCCCGGTCAGCCCGGCAGGGATGGACGAGATGGTCGTGACGCTCAACCCGGAGAGAAAGGGGAAAGAGGAGACGGAGGAGAACCAGGTACAAAAATAACATCCTCAATGATGTTTTTCTCACCTTCTCCTCCCATAGAGTGCTGCAGGGATGACATTTTTTTTTTAGGAAATTAGTATCACTCTGGTTCCCTCTGTGGATTATTGCAGAAAATTTGCTCTAATGAAAGACTGATTCTTACATTTTATTCCTTATGATAATGTTCACAAATTAACACAACTTGAATTTTAAAGCCTAAATTCCATTGCTAAACGTAGGCTGTAAAGAAACTACACCATGGTTGTGTAACGGAGGCCAGCGAGTAGGTGCTGTGCAGGTAAACCTCACTCCCTTGATCTCAAGAGACGCACTTAGCCTCCTTGTTAGTGCGTCCGCCTCCCATGCCGGAGACCTGGGCTCGTGACCCACTCGGAACAAGAACGAGATGTGGCGGTGAGGACCCGGGAGAGAGGGGTTACATTGGTGCCGTGACCCGGATGGGAGTGAGGTTTAGGGGGGTGAGTGTAACGGAGGCCAGCGAGTAGGTGCTGTGCAGGTAAACCTCACTCCCTTGATCTCAAGAGACGCACTTAGCCTCCTTGTTAGTGCGTCCGCCTCCCATGCCGGAGACCTGGGCTCGTGACCCACTCGGAACAAGAACGAGATGTGGCGGTGAGGACCCGGGAGAGAGGGGTTACAGTTGCAAGACTTCAACATCACCACCATTAAGCTTCCAACAACCGCGAA